AAGGAGGAGGACGACGACGAAGACGACGACGAGGGGCAGAAGGAGGACTAGGAACGAGACTCCAGGGAACGAAACCCCGACCGATTATGGTGCAAAAATGGCCTCCCTTCGGTGCCGCAAAACTGCTCCACCGCAAATTGACAAGTACCCGACCAGCCACGGGAATCGCCAGACTGATCTCAGCCTCGCTTCTTGAGCAGAGCCTCCACAAGTCCGACTGGCGGGCGCTCCTCAGCCTGCCGACGCCTCGACGCGCCCTCGACTTTCCCCCCGTGCACTCTTCGAGGTTCGGCCAGAGGGTGTGCACGAAATGGACAATGCCGCCCACCAGCCACATCCTGGGGGGAACACCACGGATACCGAGACACGCTGATCGGAAGAAGTGGGTAACATAGAAGAAGGAATAACGGCATAAACATGAGCATGAACGTTTGGCGCTCCGCGCGGATTTCTTGGATCTCCGCTGGACCCCCCTCCCTGGCGCGCGGAGCATGCCAGGGGCGGCGCCAGAGGGGCCGCCAGGAGGGCCCAGCGCGGATCCAAGAAATCCGCGCAGAGCGCCAAAAGTTCATGTCTATGCCGTCGCTTCTTCTTCGATCGAAGCACAAAGTAGGCAGGCGGGTCAAGCAGATTGGGTCCAGGCCCTGCCATAGAAGAGCAACAAAAAAACAGCAGAAACACATCGGCGCTTGAAGTGGATAATTAGGGGGCCTGGGAATACAGAAATCCCCACTCGGCGGCAAGGCTCGGGTCGGGCGAAAGAAGTGGGGGATAGCAAGGGAGGGGTTTGAGAATCAACTCGCGTAGCTGATTTTCCCGGCGCCTCCCGGAGCCGGAAGCGGCCATGTATCGAGGAATGGGCCCCTCGGTGAGGCCGAAACCAGCTGCATGCAGCAAATTTCGTACCCCCCCCTTTCCCAATCCCCCCCTTTCGCCCGGCCCGAGAGGGGAGGGCACTCCTATGGCGAGGCGCGTCGCCGCGGAGCGGCCGGGGCGGCCCCTTTGCGAACGCAGACGACTTCTCCGAAAGCCGGGGGGCCTCTGAACAGCCCCGCAGCCTTTTCAGGAGGCCTGCCGCGCTCCGATCTCGTCCGTGTGCACCCCCAAAAGTATGGACCGCTTCCCTGGGGTCCGTTTTTCGTCCTGAGTCGTCTTGTGACGGTGACAGGGCCCGTTGAGGCCCCCAGAGGTTGAAAACGGCCCAAAACCAGTCGCTACAAGTTTTTCGGAGCCTCGGACCTGTGGGTATGTATCTTCCTCCCCTGCCGACGCCGACGACGACGACGACGACGACGCCGACGACGACGACGACGACGACGACGGCGACGACGACGGCGGCGACGACGACGGCGGCGGCGGCGGCGGCGACCGCGACGGCGACGACGCCACGCCCACAGGGACAGGACCACGGGGGGGTGACCCATCGCGCGGGGGGGGGGGGGGGGGGCATTAGCATTGGAGGAGGGGTGGGGGGGGGCCGCAGCCTTGGATGATAGATTCCCACTCAAATCTTGCATTGCCCAGGACCCCCCCCCCGAAATCGGACCCCCAGATCCCGGGCCCCCGGGGCCCTCTGGACCCCCCGGATCCGTGGCCCCAGGGACCCCCTGACCTGGCGGGATGTCTCGGACACGAGACCGCGAGGAGCATGGGGCGCCGAAATGCACGGCAAGAGTGCCGCGCCCGAGGATCCAGCCTCGCACCGAAGAGCGTTTGGCGGGATCGGCCAAGTCGCACTGATCGCCATAAAGGACACCCCAGGCCAGAACGTGAAATCCTCGGGCGGCCATCGCTCGCCCAAGCCGCGCGGCGCCGGCAAACCTCCGGGAAGGCCCGCAGCATCAGAGGCCGCGGAACCCGCGAGGCAGCAGCGATCCGCAGAGCGCCGCGGGGAGGCACAGGAGGCACCGCCGCGCGCGGGTCTGGAGGCGCAGCGGCAGCCTAGCGAACCCGCCGCCCAAACGCCCGCCTTTCTCGCACCTCCTGACGCCGGCGCCCGTCCGCCAGCGGCCTCGGCGCCCCGACCCCGCGAGCGCCCGCCGCTGCTCGGCGAAGTCGCGGCTCGCGCCCGAGTGCCTCAAGTTGCGCGGCGGCGGGGGCCGCCGCAGCAGCAGTCGAGCGCCGGCCGGCTTGAAGCAGCGCGCGAAATTGGCCTGGCTGAAGGCGAACAGCGGCTCCTGCGGCCCTCGGCTCGCGATGGGCCGCCAGCGCAGCGGCCCCGGCCACTGGTCGTCGGCCAGGCCCAGCAGCAGCGACTCGTCGAACTCGCCCGTCTCGCTTGGGAGGCTGCCCTCGTCCTCCAAGGGGTTGAGGACAAGGCCCCAGCGCGCCTGCCCGCGGCTGCCCCCAGCGGCGGGAGGCGCCAAGTGCTCGACCCGAACCGGCCTCCAGTCGCCAGGCCGCATGAGGACCACGAGCGAGAGCATCGCGCACGTGGCAATGTCCCAGCGGCCGGCGGCCAGCAGCTCCATCGCGATGGCGAACACCACCTCGGCAGGGAGCGGCAGGCGACTGGCTGCAGGCGTCAGGTTGCGCCACCCCTTCAAGGCTCGGCGCGCCTGAAGGCGCATGCGATGGACCCCCTTGCCTAGGCGCGGGTCCACCCGGGACAAGGCCGCCATCAAGTTCGCTCCGCGCCTATGGTCGAACCCCTCCAGGTATTGCTCGTTCGCCCCCTCGCCCACGCCGCGGTCGAGGAGGTCGAGCCCCCCCGCGTCCAGGGGGCCGCTCGGGCGCGGCCTGGCAGGAAGGCGGTTGGGCACCAGCCACTGGTCCAGATCCTCGAGGAACTCCGAGTACCGTCGCCGAATTGCAGCAGCGCGCAGGCCGTCGGCGCGGTTCCACTCGCTGGGGAACCAGCGGCTGGCGAAGACCGCGCCCGCGGCAAGGCCATGCGCAGCCGCGCTCCGAATGGCGGCGCGCACCCCGGCGGCTGACGACCGGCCTATGCACGGAGCCAGATCACAAGTGAGCAAGTCAAGCATTCGAAGATGCCGAGTCTCGAACTTCTTCATGGATCGACATATGCGTTGTGCACCAGCAGCAAAACCCCGAGCCTCGCCATGAACTATGTTGTCGATCGGTATGCACCACTTCTTGCCTATGAACACCGCCCACCCCCGCTCCGCCAAGATGAACGGACGGTCCAAACGTGTGCCCCCCCTCTTCTGCGTGTCCTCCTCCACCTTCTTCACCCAGTCCGCGTCGTCGGAGCCCCCCTGTGGCCCGGAGACACCTTCGCGAGACCTGGTCTGGGCCCTGCCCGAGAATCTCCAACGCACACTCACGCGTCCTAGCCGTTGAACGGTTTCGCGAGGTAGGTGGCGAGCGACGACGCCGTGGCCGCGGAACGACGCATCGGAATCAGCCACCTTCGAGCTCCACGACGCCCCGATATCACGACGGACTAAAGGCATGATGCTCCTGGAGGCCTCCAGCTCCCAGCGGACAAAATCCCAAAGAGCCGCGACCCCGTGATCACCCTGTCTTGTGCTGGAGGTGTAGACGGACCGGAAAAGTGAGTAGCGCGCGATAGAAGAGAGCGATGAACATGCAGTGGCCAACGATCTTCTCGACATCACGCGCAGACACCTGCCTGCGTCCGAGCAAACCGTCTATCGCTAGCCGAATCCGCCAGGCTGGACCGGGCCGAGGTCTGATGAAGCCCTTCCGACCATTGCTCTCCCGCCCAAGCGCCCCCTCCTCCTCCCCCCCCTGAGAGCGCTGCAACTTCGCGCGCAGGTAAGCCTCGAGAGCGAAGCGCTCCATCGACCTGTCGCGCGAGCCGCCCGACTGTCGAGCGGCACCTGCCAAGCGCAAGCAAATTATCCATATATGCTGTCTGGCACGCTGGGGTGGTCGCAGGCGGGGCCCCTCGGTCGCGACGGAACGAGGCCTCGTCGAGGCCGGGAATGTCCTGGATGATACGTCGACGCAGAGTCTGACAAAACCATGGAGCACGGGACCGCCCCACAGGCAGCGCGCGAAGCCGGGGGTGCACAGGAGTGCTCCGGCTCACTCTCGCGCCGTCCACTTCGGCGACCCCAGCCATCCAAGCTGGCGCGGCTGGAAGAGCAAGGTAGCTCTGCAGCTTCAGCAGCAGCTCGAAATCGCACAAGGCATCCTTGACATCTACGTGCCCCGCGCACAAGGTAGCACCCACTGGCACTTCCAGGCTGCCGCAGCCGCGGCGCTAAGCTCTACGGGGTCGGAGGGCGAGAACCAGCAGTTCGAGCGTCGGCAGTCGATCGCTAACCGTTGCCTGCCCTGCTTCTTCCTGACGAAGAAGAGCAAACAAAACTCCGGCGGCTCGAGCGTGTAGTCAATCATCGCGGCCCTCTCCAGCCGCTTGATCAGCCGCCGGTATTCATGCGGGGACTTGCGCAGCACCTCGTCCATGTATGTCTCGCGTGGAGCACTCTGAAGATTGAGGCGGGCTGCTTCTTGTTCGAGAAGATGAGCACAAACAAAACCTTCGACTTCCTTACCTCCACCGACCCCAGAAAGATCTGCCAGCGGCACTGGGCGACTTACTACCAACAGGCAGGGAGGCCTTCAGCTAGTCGCACGGCACAACGGTGGACTGCGTGTCTTCGCACACCGCACACCCTCGGAGCTCCTGCAAGGCCCCCAGGTGCGAAAAAAAGCGGGAGGAGGGCCCATCGCCGCAGCGGCAGCATATGCACGTCGCTGCACCGCCGCCTGCGGAGCCCCGCCGTGACTGGATATGCGAGCAGAAGACCCCTGCTCGCCGCCAGCCAACGAGTTGATTGTAGAGATAGCTAGATCGGACAGGCCCACGACCGCATGTCGTCGCAAAACTCGCCGCCGAACTCGACGACGCAGAGACGTGGCATGAAATCGAGGCGCTGCGCCTCCTCCAGCAAGATCGGAGACAGGAAAAACATCTCGCTGGAGGCCCTCCAAGGCGCAGCGGTCGATCTTGCGACTTCAAACCCTCGAGAGACTCGAGACCAGGATTGGCGTGAATTACGCCTCCCCCTGGAAAGGCGCGTGGCAAGCCCTGGGGAACGCATGGGGCAGAGGGGCCGGCTTGCTCTGGGCCCCTCCCCCCAGGGCCTCCCACCCCAGTTTATCTTTCTGCTTCCGGCGAAGTTCGCGTTCCTCCTTTGCCTTCCTCATGTTCTTCATGGGGGCGGCGTCCTGCTCCACCTGCGACTTCGCGTGCTCCAGCAACGATGGCGGCGCCATCAGCAGGTCGCCCGCGCGGCTGAGCCCCGAGAAGGCGGTCGCCTCCTCGATCGAGAGCCGCGAGCTGGACCTAGCGTCCGTCTCCCTGATCTTGTCGCGATACGCCCACTCGATCGTCTGGACTCGCATCGCCGCCGCCCCCGCGCAGGCCAGGTTGCTGATGACGAGCTGGTCGTACTGCCCTGCAAGCTCGATGATGCGGGGCAAGGTCTCGTGCTCGGCGACGCCCCGCTGCTCGGGCTTCAAAGAGCACGTGCTGCGGAACGCGAGGTGTTGACCCAGCGGAGTGTGCTTCCTTCACAGGAACGACAGGCACCAGCTCACTCTTCTGGGTCCGCCCACGGGGAAGTCGTGAAAATCCCCCTGCACGCAGCAGTCGACGACGCCCCCCCAGTCTCGCATGCGCCCGCCTGGGCCAATCTTGACCGAGAGTGCGCGGGCGTCGGGCTGCGCCTTCGCGGCGGCAACGCGATCGCGATGAGCCAGCCGAGCGATAAAATCCACGGGCTCCTCGTCGCTGAACTCCACGAAGACCGCGTCCTTGCCGTTCGGCGCGCACGCGCCCTTGACTCCCACAAACACTTTCACCGGTCGCACCTCGAGCCCTAAGTCGAGCCCCAAGATGTCGTTGGCCTCTGCTCCCCTCCACACCCCCGCCAAAGGAGTCTAGGCGCCGCCCGCATTCGCCCCGCGGGGGCCCCCCAGCGGCGCCCCTGCGGCGACCATGCGGGCGATGGGCTGCGCGAGTGTCGCGCCCAGCAAAGCGTCCGCGGCGACTCGACGCCCTCCGCGGCAGCTCACGATGGGGCAGTCGGCAGCCAGGTCACCGTCGGCCTCGGCGACCTTCGCGGCCTGCGCGGCCGCCCGCGAGATCCACTTCCCGAGATGGCCGTCGGAGATCTCGCCCATCAGGGAACGCGTGGGCAGGGTCAGCGAACCCGTGAGGAGGGCGGCCATCAGCAGCAGGGCGAAGCCACTCGACTGGACGGTCATCGGGGAGACCACCCTGCACACCCTCGATGTACTGGTCACCGTCTGGTGCCGCCACGATCCAATCCGAAGCGCCAGACGACTGGGCAGGGGGCGGCCAACACACCGCGCGCCCATGCCAGAGCGCGCCCCCCGCGCACCGGACTAATACCACGTCGCCCGGCACCGCGTCGGACAATGTCGCCGCGGCCAGCATGGGGGGCGCGGCGCCCACGCGTCTGGCCGAGGCACAGCGAGCAGGCGGATCCAGCAGCTCCAGCAGGCTGTCACCATCTGCACCACCAACCAGAGCGGTACGCAGACGGTCCAGGAGGCCGCCTCGCCCGCACTCTCGCGGGCCTGCGAGGGGCACGGAGGCGGCTCCCCGCGCGCGGTCGCCTCGCACGGCGGGCAAGCTGGCGCCGCGCAGGTCGCCCGCGGGCAGCTCGCGGGCTGCGGCGACGGGCAGGTGAGCAGCACCTGCGGGCAGCTCAACGTCGGCGCGGGGCAGGCTGGCACTGGCGGGCAGGTCGCTGGCGCCGCCGAAGTTGGCCGCCTTGAGGATGGCCGCCTGCGCACGCTGCCCAACCACCGTGGACGGCCTCTTCAAGAGTCCAGGCCCGCGGGCAAAAAGGCTTGAGCAGTGATGGCCGCATACGGTGGACGGCCATTAGACGGGGTGCAAATACAAACTCGTGTGAAACAGTACCTATACGACCGCCCTGCGGGCGGTGAGGAGGTTTGGGGGGGGGGGGGAGATCATATGTCATATGCCTGCCCATCCTGACTGACCTCCAGCATGTCACCTGATATCATAGCATATATATATACACCTATACGACCACCCTGCGGGTGATAAGGAGGTTGGGGGGGGAGGGTCCCAGCAATGGGCAACAGTTGTGATTGTTGTCGTGACGATGCAAATGGAGAGTGTTGCGTTGCCGCTCGCTCTTGGGAGCGTCGGTGTCGAGTTGTTTACATCATCATCATCATCATCATCATCATCATCATCATCATCATCATCATCATCATCATCATCATCATCATCATCATCATCATCATCATCATCATCATCATCATCATCATCATCATCATCATCATCATCATCATCATCATCATCATCATCATCATCATCATCAACACGGGTCGTCATCATCATCATCATCAACAACAACATCAACATCATCATCAACATCATCATCACCACCATCAACATCACCATCATCATCATCATCATCATCATCTTCACCATCATCATCATCATCATCATCATCATCAGCATCATCTTCAGCACCATTATCATCATCACCACCATCAACATCATCGTCATCATCATCAACAACATCAACATCATCATCAACATCATCATCACCACCATCAACATCAACATCATCAACATCATCATCAGCATCAGCATCATCAGCATCATCTTCAGCACCATTATCATCATCATCACCATCATCATCATCGTCATCATCATCATCAACACGGATCGTCATCATCATCATCATCATCATCATCATCAGCACGGGTCGTCATCATCATCAAGAACAAGATCAACATCATCATCAACATCATCATCACCACCATCAACATCACCATCATCATCACCATCATCAGCATCATCTTCAGCACCATTATCATCATCATCACCATCATCATCGTCATCATCATCATCATCAACACGGGTCGTCATCATCATCATCATCATCATCGTCATCGTCATCATCATCATCATCATCATCATCATCATCATCATCATCATCACCATCACCATCACCATCACCATCATCATCATCATCATCATCATCATCATCATCATCATCATCATCATCATCATCATCATCATCATCATCATCATCATCATCATCATCATCATCATCATCATCATCATCCGACGGGACACCGACGGGACACCGGCGGGACACCGGCGGGACACCGGCGGGACACCGCGGGCCCCCAGACGCCCGGAAGGGAGTCATTTGGTCCGGCCGCGCCTCAGCCACACGGGACACCAGCGGGACACCGGCGGGACACCGCGGGCCCCCGGCCGCCTGGAAGGGAGACATTCGGTCCGGCCGCGCCTCAGCCACAGGAGACTTTCTCTCGCCCGCCCACGCAGCTTCGCCTCGCCCGCACGGCACGCACGAACACGAAACGGAAATCGATTTCCCGGTAGGGGGGCTCTCCGTTCCACTTCGATCTCACCCCCCAACCTCCGATAAATATACACGTGTCCCTCTCTCTCTCACTCTCTGTGTGTCTCTCTCTCTCTCTCTCTTTCTCTCGCCCTCTCTCTCTCACCCTCTCTCTCTCTCTTTTTCTCTCCCTCTCTATCAGAGTCTCCCTCCGCCACAATGATGATCGCGATGACGATGAAATCCCGCTATCGACCTATCCGTCGACCGACCTATCGGTGAATCTCACATTATGATATGAATTATGAAGCTAGGGACATGCGCTAGCGCCGGGGCGCCCAAGACACCCGGGACACCGGGGACGCCGCCCGACCCAACTGGGACACCTCCCGGCCACAGGCGGACGGGAAACGGATTTTCGCTCCCACTGACATCCGGGACACCTGGGACACCGCCCGGCCCAACTGGGACACCTCCTGGCCACAAACGGGCGGGAAACAGACTGTCGCTCCTACTTCGGCGTGGCTACAAGAGGATCACGCGCAGCTTCGCCTCGCCCGCACGCACGACACGAACGCGAAACCGAAGCCGACTTCCCGGTGGGGGGTCTCCGTTTCACTGCGATCTCACCCCCCAACCTCCGATAATATCTGTGTGGGCCCGTCTTTTTACAAACGCCAGCCGAAGTGAGGCCAAGGGTCGCGCAATCCGATATCCGTTCGCACTGGCGCGGGCACGACTAGCGAGGCCACGAGTGAGTAGCAGCGAGCACAGCGCCAAGGCTAAATACCTCAAACCACGCTGTTGGTGCTGGACGTGCGAAGCACGGCTGACATGACGTGCTAGGTGAGCATGTGAAATGAATATATATATATATATATATAATAAATGCACATATGTATATATATATATATATATATATATATGTGCGTGCTGAGGCCCAACCTCTGACTCTCATGCGAGCAGAAGAGCGAAAGGTACGGCTGAGCATTTTACGTTAGAAATTCGCCCTGCCGGTTCTTGCCCACAAGTTGTTTGTGCACTTTGCCGGAAAAACCGCAACGGCCAGTTTTCGTGCGACACCTGCGGAGCTGGTCATGCTGATACTCTGCTCCGTAGGACGTTCTGATGGGGCGAGCCACATATGTCAATGGCGAAACATCTGCAACCACATTGCTCCGCAGCAAACGAGAGGTGCTCAGAGCCCGGGAAGATCTCTACAACGATTTTCCTTTTTCGAGGCGCTCCAGGCACCGGCTCTAGATGCTCCAAGGCGGGGTCAGCAACGAGGCGATGGCGGACAGGCAGAAGCCTCTGAGAGGACTGAAGAGTCGAGCCCCCTCACGCTGAAGGCGCGAAATTGCTTCGCATCGACGAGAAGACGAGTCGCTGGTCCACCTGCTTCGATGTTCCCACCTCATCGCTGGGGAGGATGTTGTCTCGCCTGTCTGCCGACGGCCATCCGCGCCGTAGCTGGGAGGGCACGCGCGTCGCGTGCAGGTCGGGCTCGCGATGTTCCTGCTTGAACACCGCTGTGAAGTGCTGGACGCCAAAGTCGAAGAGGCGGCCCGACTTTCTGGCGAGCGCCCGCCTGCCGACCTCCAGCCCGAGTGGGCCGCCGCGCGGGTGGTCCAGCAAAACGCCCGCGGCAGCCACGAACGTTTTGGACGCGCCCCCGCGCTCCCCCGGGTGAAAGTTCAGAGCCGGCGCCCAGGGCAGTGGAGGGCACGGCGGCACCGCGTCCTTGCCGCGACAGCGCCACGTCTCGCAGCAACGGGAGCACGCCGAGGGCATCACCAACGTCATCAACGCTTCGGTCGGCATGCCCTTCACGGTCACCACGCGGGCGCCCACCGCCACCGCAATCCACGAAGCGGGGGCCCGCGTGGCAGCAGGACTGAAGCGGCGCCCTGCTCTGAATGCAGGCACCGTGCGCGGCGCGCCTGGGCCCCCTTCATCTGCCGCGAGCAGAGGGCCAAGAAAGCGGCGCAAGTCACCTGCGCCTCGCCCCGCGCGGCTCCAATGAAGCACCTGGCACCGACCAGATCCGCCACGCCCGCCCCCCCCCCCCTCGGTCAGCGAGCCGAAGGGCCTCTCGGCGCTCGCCAGGCGCTGGAGCAGGCGCCGCAGCGACTTGAGGCATCTTTTCCAAGTCACGGCCCTCGCCGCGGACGCAGCGGGGAAGCTGGGAGGTGGACGCCGAAGCGCATGGCCATGTCCTCTTCCTCCTGCGCGAGCTCGTTCGGGAGCGGGTCCAAGCGCATCAACGGGGAAAGGGCCCCGGGCGAAACGCGCGCCGGGCGAGGGGGCCAGCGGCACCTCGACGCCTTCCCAGAGCCGAAAGCCCTCATCTGCCGCATTCAACTCACGCGGATGCCAGCGGCGCGGCAGCGAAACATCTCCCGCGATGCATAGTGCAAGTAACTGACGACTACATAGAAAGACACCGAAAGAAACCGATAGTCCTTTCTCACAAGCCAAAACGGGTGACATGTGATCCCCAAGATTCAGGAGAGGAGCGAAGTTTACGTCGTGGAGCTGATACCGCCCTCTTCCCGCCCAAAACCATGGTGGTTTCATGTTTGACGACTTTCACGGCTCAGTCCAATTGCAACCGCTCGGATCAAGCTGCGTTCTAGGGAGGGGCCTCATGGAACTGCAGGTTCTCCTCCATCATCTTGATCCTCTCCTTCTTGTCGACCTTTGGGGGGATCACGGCGGTGACGTCGTTGAACGGGTCGGGGTCCTCGATGGGCCCTCTTGCGAGCCTACGCTGCGGGGGCCATGGCATGGCACCGAGACTTCTCCTTGACTCCACCGACCTGGAAGATCTCCTGGGTCGATAAGATCCGGGGGCACACCGCGTGCCCACAGGGGCAAGCACCTGAACGGGTAACGTTCGGACTCCATGGCCTGTCCAATCCTGCATACCAGAACGGAAGCAGGACACTGAAAGTTCGAATCTCCCGAGCCGCGCTCCTCCACAACCGACCCCGTGACGATTGATGGGCGCGGATGAAGGAAAAGACGCGATGGAAGATGGACAAGAACTCTCTTCTCATCAGGCAGATGTGGACGCAGTATCCCGCGAACCGCTTCAGCCCGCGCCCGCTGATTCGCGGACGGCCCTGAAGCCGTCGGCCCGCGGCCTCCAACGGCTGCCTCTTGCGGACTACAGGCGTCGCGGTGCGCGGTAACCCAGGGAGACGGCGCCCGTCGGGGCCTGCCAGCTCGCGGACCACGAAGCCCTTCTCCCCAAGATGATTCCGCAGCCGGTCGCGGATGTCACCCGCGGTGTCAGGATCCAGGACCATGACGTTGACGTTGTCGGAGTAGGGCAGAAGCAACGCCCTGCCTGGCACCAGCTCGGGACGCGCCTCTCGTCAGTGATCGCCCCCTCGCCCTCGATGACTTTGAACTCCACGATCTGCTG